GAAATCACTTAATCATGCAGTTTCATTGCTGTTTCCTGGAGGTATCTTTTATTGTTCCCTGGAGCCATTAGAAACCGTCAAATTGCTACGTATTTACATGTTATTGTTTCTTAAACAACCCTACTTAGTATATATTCATATTATAGTTGAGATCTCTGGTGTCGTCATTCGATGCCAAATTCAGTACTAATTCCACTTATCACGTGAAGATAAAAAAACTTAAATTAAATCAAATCAATTTGATTTATTAACTTAAAAGATTAAAGAGCTCGTTACAACTTAAATAAACGAAATACTTGGTATAAATATGGAAATGACACTAAGTTGTCGCTGGAAAGTGGCACCGAGGATCCCATGTGCTCATATTATGTGCTCATATTATGCCTCAGGCTGCAATCAGCTGATGAATGTTTAATCACTCAGGCTGCAATCATAATCTTACGGTACTGCATCTATTCGCTGACCGTGAATAAGATGAAATAGAATGGTAATGAACATTATCAGAGAAAAAGAAAACTGGGAAACTGATTCTCTAATGAGTGTCTCAAAGCAAATGAAAAGAAAATAAAGTGCAACTGTACAAGACTGTTTTGGAATAAATTCGGAAATTGATTCTCCTGCACATACAACTTATTTTGGTAGGTAATAGACAGCTAATAGGGTGTACTATTTGGAACAATATGGCACCATTATGCTCAAGGCAGACAAAAAATATGAAATTCCCCCTACGGTAAGTGGGAAATTACCTAGGTTGAACTCAATCTCCAAGAAACTGAACTAGACTTCCTCTAAATTAACCATGTTCTTCTAAACATTTTTACAGTACAAAATAACTAATTTTGCTTTTCTGCAATTCAGTTCAGTTAAACATTAGCAAATTAGATTGAACTCGATCTCCAAGAAATTGAGTTCAATTAGTTAGACACTTAAAATAGAGCAACTGAACTCGGATGGGAACAACTTTAATTAGTTCTCTTTTCAGTTTCTGGAAGCCAGTAGATCTAATGGTCTAGCTATCAACTTTTGCATCAATTAATGGTTTTACGTTATTTTCTCTTTACCCTGACTTCCTTCTTTCTGTTTTTGCAAAACTCCAATCGATAACACCTGACATTTCATGGTACTTTTTAAGTACTTAGACTCTTGGAGTTGGAGATGGGGAAAGGATAATCCTGGCCGATATCTCTTGGGCAATTACTAGTATATTCAACTTGCTGTACTGTACATTCACATTTAGTGCTCTACTGCAGTTGGACACATTTTAGTTTTAACTTCACTCTTATGAAAAGATAATACTTGTGGCAAGTGGTGATGAGTGTCTCAGAGAGAGGTACCCGTTTGACAAATCCATGAACGAAATAGAAGTGAAATTGTTAATTATGTTTAAATATATATATATATATATATATATATATATATTTTCCTCCTCTTTTTTCCCTGGTCAATTCTATTTGTTTTTCTTGGATTTCACTTGAAGGTAGCTTACCTTGAGGGAAAATAGATGGATATGGAGTAATATTTTGCATTTCTGATTTTTGGAGGCCTAAATGTTAGACCAAATATCTTTGGCCGATATACCTAAAGGTAGCTTATCAAAGGAAAATGACCATTTTGTTTCCTCTTTCGCGTCTTGACCAGTGTGTCATTTATCATCAGGAACCAATTTAGTTCCTTATCTTTATAAAGATAAAAAAAAACAGCTATTATAAATAGTGTACTATTTTTTTCAGAATAATATGGCAGCATTATGCTCAAGGCCGGCAAATAATAAAATTTCCTCTTGAGTAAGTGGGAAGGAAGTTCTTTACAAACATGTAGTAGTATTGTGAATCCGAACTTGGATTAGTACAATCTCTATACCCAATGGGGAGAGAACAAACTCAATAAAATTTTTTTTTTATTTATATTCCAAAGTACAGAAATTTGTGAGTAAAATTTTCTGACTATGTAATGGGCATGTATATCAAAATAATCTAAAAGCGATTCCAAGAAATTTGGTTTGCTATAAATTATCAAGTTTAATAATGGAGAATTGAGTTCAACTTGACATATATATCAACTGAAATATTGAACTACTTTTTTTTTTATAGGATCTTTCACTACATGAATCAGCAGCAACTTGAAGAAAACCTATCTAAGTTGAATTCTGTGGTGCTCAAACTACTTCGACAACCAATGAAAACAAGGGATAAGTACACAAACCTCTATTGGGCTTTGTCACAACTACAAACAGTTCCCTCCAGGCAAAATTATAAGGTTACACGTACCTCCCTTTTAGTTGTCCAATATATCTATAGGACCCTGATTTCAGTACCTTAAAAGGGACTCTAATACTCCCTCAAGTTATACGTTATGGTGATGAATAGAAAGTGTGAAGTTTAAGGAAACATCTCTAAAATTGAGAAGTGTAAGAATCTAATAGTAAATATTTTTGGGAGTCCATAGAATCAATAGAAACAAATCATTAAAACTAGGAGTCCTTCATCTACCCCCCACACAAAACAAAGCAAAACAAGGAGAAAAACCGTTCAGGTATAGGGTTTGTGAAAAAAAAAAGAGCATATCTTCATGGAAGACGCCGACAGAAAAATACGTAAGACAGAAGAAAAAGCGGGGACCAAACTTCCACTAGTTCTTTGTGAAAAAATTCTCCTTAGGCTTGATGTCAAGGCTCTTTCTAGATTCAAGTGCGTCTGTAATGGCTGGCATGACCTAATCTCGAGTTCCCGTTTTATCCGCCGTCACCTAGACCTTTCAATAGCAGATCCTGAGCAAAACCATCATCGAGTTTTCTTAATTTTTCCATTGACCACTATTGATTACAGATACTTTGGCTTCCATGTTGAGCGAAAATATTGCAATAAAATTATTGACAAACCTCTTCGTTATCCGAGGGAGATGTCCCCGTTTTATCTGGAAATTATAGGATCATGTGATGGATTAATATGTTTGTTGAGTGGAGTTAAGGACAAATCCATTATCATATGGAATCCATCTTCCCAAGAGTTAGTGACTTCACCTTTGCCTTTTAACCATGCTGACCTTGGCTTCTATTGGTTCGGCCGTGACTGCATGTCTGATGGCTACAAATTGCTTGTATCCAGCCATCGCAAGTACCACAAAATCTACGAATTGAGCCCGTATGAAGGTTTGTACGACTGGAGGAAGCACAAGGACGAAGTAATACGTCCAACTCGAGCTTTCGAGAAGAGGGGTACTTATTTCAACGGTAATGTTTATTGGCCATGCTTGCAGAATAGGCACATTGTGGTTTCATACAATTTGTCAAACGCGGAAGTTAGGGGAGTACCAGCACCCGATATCATCAGAGGGAATGCAAGTTTTACCTTGGGGGTTTTTGACGGAAGCCTTTGTGCAATTTGTAAGCCCTATAAGAATTTTGAGATATGGACGATGAAAGAGTGTAGCTTGGGACAATATTATTGGACTAATTTGATTCAGTTAGAAGGATTTGAAGCCAATTCCAATATGTTGAGGCCTTTAGGAGCTCTAAGGAATGGAGATTTAATTGTGGATGTTGATCAAAAGACCTTGCAAAGGTACTATTTCAATGGGAACACTCCAAGAATTGTCAAAACACACAATGTTAACCATGGAATGCTTTCGGATGCTATTACATATGTGGAGAGTTTGGTTTCACCCATTGACAGTATACAATTTGGCCCACAACAATTGCGGATGACGAATGAGGCACATGGCTGTGCTAGATAAATAACTAGGTAAGGTTGGTCTTTTATTTCTCTAAAAAAAAATATATTTATTGATTCGGTTTTGAACTTGCTGTTATGGTTTTAGGTTTTTGCAGATGAAGAGAAATGGGGTGTGAAGAATCTCGTACTACATTGTGATGATTAGAACAATTTGACTGCAATTATTCAAGATTTCTGAAGAATGGCGATGTTTCATTCCAGTAGAACATATGTGAAGCATGCCTTACATGGGAGCATACAAAAAGTAATTCAAATTCAAGATCATTTATTATTTGTCTGATGCAATAACATATGTGGATAGTTCGATTTAGTAGAACTAGTGTTCGACTAACTAGCCCTTGGGATTGACTACCTATTTTTGTTTCCGACTGTTGCAATTATTTAGTTTTCAGACTCTTTTGCTCGTTTAGTTCGGTGTGATTTGACAGTGATTTCTGTTTTCGGTTCCTTGAAGCAGATATATCAATAGTTTTTATGAAGTTTTGTTTCCATATTGATAATTTCTTGTTCTCTCACTGCATGTGAATTTTTAGTACAAATTATATATTTTTATAATGTATGTGAGACCATTAATCTATAATCATGTTACTATATATTCGGAGTTGGAAGAAAAATGAAAAAAAATTCGATTATCTTTATACTAGGATGCTTTTTAATTTTTGTTTCAGTAAACAGTTTATCTAGAACCTTAATTTCAGTGCAACTGATATTTAGTAGGAGGCCTCTCTACATAATACTATAAAAACTTTTTTGACGTAAATAAATTCAGTTAAGTTCTTGAACCTGACATATAATTCTAGAGATTGTTGTTGCAAGTGTTGCCAGAGGACAAGATTAAACTTTTTGGACAGGGGATTTATATTCCAGTAATGACGGTTTAGTGTCATGAAAGTTTTTCTTTTTCTTTTCTTTTCTTTTCTTTTTTTGGTTGATCAGAGCACTTATGGAAGGCACCATTTCTGCAATTCGTACGTCTTACACTTGAATTGCTGCCACATAGCAAAAGAAATTCTAATCACACGCTTAGATACATAAGTAATTGGCCTTTATTTATATTCTAGCTGTTGCAGTACATAAGAATACATATACATACATAATATATGTGTGCGCACGCGGGCATATAAGTATCTTACAGGAGCAAGCATTATAAGTATATACGATGGTATGTATTTGTATTTGATCCAAAACATGATCATGACGGAATTAGTGGAACATTGATGTTGGACTTGATGAATCCAACGATGGAATCGTTTACTTGAAATGATTTGCTCAGGCAGCATCAGGAACTGAAGGAGTGGAATTGAAGAGAGACCTGGATTTTGACTGTTGAAGCTTTGCATAAAGGAGGGCATTCCCTTTTCCAACATTAATTACCATGTGCAACATCGCCTGAGGGATCACAAACACCATTTTGGGCTTCAAAATTTTGTACAAGAAAACGCTATCTGTTGTCACAAAGCCTACAAGGATTCTCCCCTTCGTGCATACAACTAGCTCAGATGCCCGTGGGTGTGTATGCGGGCGTACAACTCCTCCTTTGAGCAGCTCCGCTTGAATCATGGATATTCCAAGACTGTTTAGCCCCGGGAAATTATTAGCTGTTGCTTGGCTGATGCTCAGCCCATAGATATTGAACACTTTGTTGTCATTCATGAAACCTTTGTAGCAGAAGTCGTCTGAAGTTGCATCAGAAGGATTCTTGCAAGGATAGTCATTCAGATTCATGTTTGAGCTTAAATTCGCGACGCAATATTAATCTTGTAGTGGAGGTGGATCAACACAATGACAAGAAGGCATTAGTGATAGCAGTGAAGGAACAGGAGTATTAGGCCGAAGAGTATCAGATGAAGATAGGAACAGGAGCTGGCCATGTATACAGTATCTGCCCCGCGCAGTCCATTTAAAGGTCGAAAGTTAAAACTAGCCAGTTCACTAACCACTGCTCAATTCCTACGTGCACGAAATTAAAATATCTTTTGAAAAGAAAATTGACTGAATATATAGTAGTACCATTGGCTATTCATGCAGTAATTCTAGATGACTGAATCCTCGATCACTGCAATTTAACCATTATTATATGGTTAGATGTTTTTGAACGCCTGAAAATTTGTAGCCATGGGCGGTCTCCTTAACCTCACTTTACAATGAGGGTTATATTGTCACACTCTTTAACTTGCCTTCCCGTCATACCTTTCCCTTTTAATGGAGCTATCACTATTGCATTGATTAGGAAGTCAAGACACAAGGAAGTTTATGAATTTTTTATAGCTATTTTAATACGTGAATGAATAGTTATTTCATAGTTATTCCTGTTGCCGTTTACCAAATTTTCTCAAGGCTTTATTCCTAGTGAGGATGAATGATAAGAGACCGTGACTATGGCACTCCAGATCCTCTGTCTAGGTCACCTGTCTAAGTTAACACAACGTCGCTTTTCTATAAAAACTGATGAGGTGACCTGAACCCGTCTAAGTTGATACGATACGACATCGCTTTTCTATAAAAACTGATGACGCGGCCTTTCAAACTCTCTCCTGTTTAAGCTGTGTGTCTCAATTAATATGACAATGATGATGTGGCCTTTTCTTGCTTAAGTTGTCTGTCTAAGTTAATACGACATTGTTTTTCTAGTTGGACTACTCTTAACATTACAGACGTCTGTAACTTCACACTTGCAGATGCCTGTTTTTTCAATTTTGAATATTTTGAATAGGATCCTATAGTTTTATCAATCAAAAAATAGACCAATCCGATCCCATCCCTCCCTCAACCTCCAATTTCTAGGTTCTCTCCTTCTTGCAGCCACAAGTGATACTCTCATCTCCATTTTTTTTGCGTCTTACCACTTTTTATTTTTCTCATATCCCAATCTATTCCTGCTCTCCTCCAAGTTCAAATCGCCCATGTTCTATTATTATCACCCTACAATCCCCCCCCCCCCCCCCCCCACAAAAAAAACACTGGTTGTCTCTATTTCTTCTTCTCCTTCTGAACTTGATGTTAACTATGTCTTTCATGTCAAATCTCTGTCTTTGTTGGTTTCATATGCAGGGTGTGACGAATGGTATTATTGTGCATTTGTGCTTTGAGAAAAAAAGTGACTTTGAGATGGAAGTATTTGATCAATTGAGGAGTTCTCTTGAATCATAAGATTTATTAACTGTTAATTTGATTTCTAAACTGTCCATAAAGTCATGGAATTTGTACCTTAAAAAGGGGGAAAAAGTCCATGGCTATCCACTTATCCAGCATAGAAGTAACAGAGATGGTGTCTAATTGAGAGGTTTGGAAAAGAGGGGTGTTGAGAATTTAGAAGTTGAGGAAGGGCATGTATGTAAGACTATTTGCTCCACATTTTAACGGGACAAACCAGCAGCCCTTCATGTCTCAATCTAACTAAATGCAATCAATGGTCAAGAACTGTGATTTAACCATTTTCCTTTTCTATATAACAACTGATTATTTGGGCTTTCAAATTCTCTCCTGCCTAAATTAATATGACATGGCTTTTCGATAAATACTGATGACGTGACCTTTTCAATCTAAGGGTGTGTTTGATAAAAGTGAAATTTGAAAATTGAAATCTAAAGTCTAAATCCATTAAATTAGTAAATTATTGAGTACTAAATTTGATATATTAAGTGCATATCACATTAAATGATAAGTGAATAACTTTTCACTTATTTTTTGGAGCAAATTTTACTTAGAAAATTCAGTGCCACTTAATGAATTTAGATGTTTTAGTTTTGGTTATCAAATGCATCTGAACATGTTAAAATCTGAGCCTATTAAATTTAAGTGCTGAATTGAACTATCAAACAAGACCTAAGTTGTCTATCAAATTTAATATAACATTGGTTTTTTATAAAAACTGATGGCGTGGCCTTACAAACTCTCATCCTAATCATATTTTAGTAAACTCTCCTCTCAGTAGTCTAAACATCACAGAATTCCGATTCAAGCAAATCTAGTTGGTATTCCAACTTCAAGATTTAGTAAGATTATACAATGGAATCCCAATTAGAAGACCAAACTACCGCTAATCAATTGTTTAATGTCTAAAATTCCTATCATCATTAAAGTAGAAGTGTTTAAGACTTGTCAAACTAGTAGGAGATTGTAGGGTATATAGTGGGAATCGACAAGGAAGATCAAATATATGGTGTGAAGAGGTTTTATATAGGCTGCCTTTCTTTTGTTGTGGAATTGAATAATCTTTCATTCAAAAAAAGAGGTTCCAAAATCCGGACCTAGAATAAGTAAGTCAAGACCTGCCTCCAAAGATTTGATGACGATCGATGACTCCTAATAGTTCTTCACTTTTTCTGAGCTAGATATTTTATTACGGGGAAACGTTTAAAACAGAAGTTTTCTAGTAGTATGACTTTTTTGTTTCAAGCCATGTTATCACTTATCAATTTGTTTGATAATATATTCATGTATGGAAGCCCTGAATGATTTGTATACAAAGTATTAGCAGCTAGTACAAGCTAGAAAAAGATATATTTTGTGGCTGTATTTTATTGCAAGGGAAAACTAAGTTGCGTGTGTACATGTAGGATGGAGTTGCATATATATACTAGCATTCAATTCAGAGAGTTTGGCAGATACTTGGGTACAGTTCAGTTCCAAGAACATCAATCGTTTGAAAATGATATGATGAAAATCACTTGAAAGAGTAGAAGATCTCTTTGCCTCACCTTGCCTGATCATGGCTTCTTGCCTGCAGCTTCCGAAGCGTGATAGTGGATATAGATCATGACCTCTTGGCATCTGAAATTAAACCCATCATGATTTTTTAAATTTAGTATTTGTTTATTATTATTATTATTATTATTATTATTATTATTATTATTATTATTTGAAAAGGTAAGATTTGGGGCTATTTTCAGACCATCGTACAATTCTTTGGTCCAAGGATTGTGACTATAACATTTTAAACCCGAGGGGGTGTAGTTGTAGTTTAGCCAAAACAAAAGGAAGACAAATGTAATTTACCCAAAGTTTTATAAGATTCTTTTTTTTTCCCCCCAAAACGATAACATTTTATTGATAATATATAGGTTTACATTTTATTGATAATGTATGGGTTTATAAGATTCGAGGAATACTAATTTCAAAGCTTTTATGCCTAAGTGAGGCCTCCTCTATGATTAGTGAACCTAGGGCAAAGAATATACAAAGCCCAATAACAATAAAGAAAAGAAGCATATAACCGATCCCAAGGCCCCCATTGCCTTAAAAGAGAAGAAAAATAACAAGAAATAGGCTGCACATCTTCTGTGCACTTAGGGCACAAAATATATGAAGCTCAATAATAATAACAAGGGATAAGTATATACATAACTACGGAAACTACTACATTCCTTTTTAAATATAGTACTCATGATTTTAATCGACGTATATCTTGTTACATTAGTCAGTGATTTAAATTCTTGAAATAATCTAACGATTGATAACTCTTATTCTATATCTAACGATGAATTTAATTATATTGGTACAATACTCAAAAGGTATTGCAGAACTCCCCACTATCTAATCCCAATAGTTTTCAAAGTGATAAAAGAAAAAATAAATGGACTAGACTCCTCATCATTGCATTGGAGAAAACTTCTCCCCATTACACTCCAAAAAAATTAATTTAAAATTATTTTTAAAAATCAACACCGTCCATAATATATTTCATTACTCAATGTTAGTTATACATAAAACTTCACACGAAGTTGACCATGTTTTGCCCTCTGATTAATCATTACAAATTTTGTCATAATTTTGACTTATTTTTCACCATTCAAATATTTCATGAAAATTAAATGTCAAAATATTCTTAAAAATATATATTTTTAGTATGCTGATCTAGAGATCAAAAGAAAAATAATGACACAATCACATAATTTTACAACATTACACAAAGTTGGATATAAATGAATGGATAGAAATCTAATGGAGAGAATCCTAACTCATGAAAAGATAACCCCAACAAAATGCATCTTCCGCTAGACATACATGAGGAAATTCTCCTCAGGCTTGAATTGAAGGATCTCTTGAGATTCAAGTGCATCTGCACTCTGCAGTTGCTGGAATGATCCAATCTCCAGTTCTCGTTTCGCCTGTCCACGACTGGTGCTATCAACAGCCAACCACGAGAAGAAGCATCTAGGATATGATTTATGACAGGACAAAACTGAGAAGATACTGGCGCTCAATGTGCTTTACGACGGTTGCTTTTGGATGATGCTTATATGCAACTTTTAGGACTGGTGAGAAATTTGAGATATGGATGATGAAAGAGTATGGGGTTGAAGAATCTTGGACAATATGGATGACATTAGAAGGATTTGAAGCCAATTCAAGTTTTTTAAGGGCACTAGGATTTTTGAAGAATGGCCAACTAATTGTGGATGTTAATCAAAACTATGTAAGGTATAATTTTAAGGAGAAGTCTGCAGAAGTTGCTAAAAAACGCAATGCCGAATACTCAGATACGATTACATATGTGGAGAGCTTGATTTCACCTAAGGCAGTTAGTGTTCAAATAGCCAGGAATCAACCCCATCAAAGTATATATGATACCAGCCAGCCTAATATTTTTTTTTCCTTTTTTGATATATGCACTTGTTTTCAGTTGTACACTTGTAGATTCTGTGAGATTAAGGATTTTAAGGTAGTAATAGAACTTCAATTACAAATGTCAAGATCTACTCTTCCTTGCTTATGCTCACTAG